GTGAGTGTCTCACCGTCTGGCGAGCCCGCGCTGGCCAGATGGCGCCCCCGACCCCCTGCCACCCTCGAATCCCTTCTCCTCCACCTGGGCTCGCGCTTCTGAGCGGTGTGCAGCTCTCGCGCGTATGTATGCATCGTCCCTGGCTATTTGCAGAGGGACGGGCGTGCCAGGGTGGGCAGTGAAGGAGAAGCATCAGTCCAGAGATCCGGGTTCAGAATGTCAGCTCGCCGTTTCCTTGCAGCACCCACCCTGTTGGACCGCTCCACTCCTGCTGGGTCCATCGCGGCCGAGCCCTGAAGGAAATCACGGCCTGACGACCGTGCGGCTCATCGCCTCCGCAGTCCCCAGCCAGGCCGCCGCTCCCCTCTCACCAGGGGCCGCTCGGAGCTCACACGGCAGCTCCTCTTTTTGTGCTTCTGGTGAATTCGCCACCATTGCAGCCATGGCGCCGTGCCGCTGCCCTCCTTTCCCCCGCCACCGCCCTCCTCTCCCTCCTCTCCATCCTCTCCCCCGCCTCTCCCCCTCTCCCTCCTCTCCCTCCTCTCCCTCCTCTCCCCCTCTCCCTCCTCCCCCTCTCCCTCCGCCTCTCCCCCCTCTACCTCCCCCGCCACCGTCCTCCTCTCCCCCCTCCTTCCCCGGCTCTCCTGCACCCCCGCCCCGCCCCGCCTCCCCTGCACCCCGCCGCACCTTCCCGGACGGGGGCGGGCTTGGCATTGGCAGGACAGGGCCGCCCACGATCCGATTCGGTGCGATCTGCGCTTCGCCGGCTGGGGCCGCGATTCTGACTCGGCTCGGTTTGGCTCGATCCACCAGCATCCACCGGGGCCAGCCGGAGCCAGGTGCGGCGATGCGACGATGTCGATGCGATTCGGCACCATCCGCGGGTGATCCGAATTGTTCCCGATCCCACCTCGCTGGGAGGTTACATGCAGGATCGGTGCTGGCATATGCCTCTGGCCCCAAACTGGGCTAGTCTGGTCGATTCCAGCCTAATCCGGCTTGGGCCCGTTCAATCCAGCGTAGGCCCGCTGAATCGGGCTTAATTCCGGGCTCAGGCCTAATCCGGTTCAATGGCCCCTAAAACAGGCTTATACGTCGGTCGGTGAAAGTATGTCTTTTTGGCTGCCCAAATCCCAATCTACTTTCAGGCGCCTTCCTATTTCCAGAGTCGAGCGGTTTGCCCTTTTCCTTCCTCTTCAGGGGGCGGGCGGAAGCCCAATCTACTTCCAACGCCTTCCTATTTCATGTGTCTACCCGCTTCTTCCGACTGACATGGAATAGCCCGCAGTCGTTATGCCAGAGATATCACAGGAGTTGCCCCAGGCGTGGGCACGTCTGTCCCAGGGATGCCATGCGTTGCGCGACGCGGGCGCTCGGAGAGGGGATGGCGGGGCCCCGACATCCTCGCGAAGTGAAAAAGACACAACTGGATTTTGTACGGTTTTCGACCACTCGGGGCCCTCGCTGGGCCCTACTTGGCACCGCTCGGACGTGTGCATTTTTTCGGCGAGGACGACCGAGGAGTATCTTGAACCATCAGCTTGCGAAAAAGTGCACGCACGAAGACGAGAAGCATGCACGGGGAGAAGGCACCGGCGCAACACCGGCGCTGGGGAAGCGGCATTGGCCTCCCTGGGGGGAGAAGGAGGAGGAGGAGGAGGAGGAGGACGAGGAGGAGGACGAGGAGGCGGAGGAGGAGGAGGAGGAGGAGGAGGGAGGAGGCGGAGGAGGAGGAGGAGGAGGAAGAAGAAGAAAAAGGGGAGGAGGAAGAGGAGGAGGAGGAGGAGACCTAAGATATCCGATGTCTGGGGGTCGGGCTCGGGTCTGCACGGCTCCCGGGGGAGAGAAGAAAGGCCCGGACCTCCGGCGCAGCGACATAAATCAGGGCGGGCTTCCTGCGTCGGTTTCGGCCTCTCGGGGCCTTCGCCAGATGGGCCTGTTTTCCACCACCACCACCATAAGTTGGAGGGGGGAAGGAGGAGGAGGAGGAGGAGGAGGAGGTGGAGGAGGTGGAGGAGGAGGAGGAGGAGGAGGACCCCCCTCCCCCTCCAACTGACGGTGGTGGTGGTGGTGGAAAACAGGCCCACCATCGCCGTGCCCAGAGACAGTCGGAAAAAACGCTTCCTGGACGCCGCACCGAGAAACCGGGAGATCGAGGGCCACATTCCTCGCACGGCGGCCGACCTTTCGCGGGGGTCCGCGCGGATTCCCGGGGTCGGCGTGGGGACCCCCCCGCCGTGTGGCGGCGGCTCCAGCGCCAGCGCGCGGGGGGAGGGGGATGCAGCTCGGTCCCCGGGTTTGTGCTGGCTTCCAACAGGTGATGTGTGCGTTGCTTTTTCCTCCTCCTCCTCCTCCTCCTCCTCCTCCTTTTCGGACTGTTGTGCCCACTTGGGAGCAAGACGCTTGCATGTTGTCCCTCATCACCTTCTCTCCGGCCAAGCCGTTGCCCTCCCGCGGGCTACTCGTGTCATGGACAGCGCCCGTTTGGCACGCGTCATTCCTCGTCTCGCCCAGTCGTCGCGCGCTTGGTGTGTCTTGCGGTCAGGCACTCGTTCTTGGCGTGTCGCCCCACTGGTTTTAGCCTTAAGTCGGGCCCGTCCCCCTACAGGGGGATTTTCGACGAAAAATAAAAAATACCCCAACAATAGTCCAAAAATAGTCAAAACATAATCGGGGGACTATTTTTTGAGTATTTTTTGCAATTTTGGGTTATTTTGGAGCATTTCTTATTTTTCGTCGAAAATCCCCCTGTGGGGGGACACGCCCGACATAAGTTTAAGCCCTCCACGCTTGGACACGCCCGACATAAGTCGGGGGTGGACAGAACCCCCAACAGTGACACGTCGATTAGTGAATTGTCCGTTTTCGGCTCTCGAGAGGGCGCCGTGGCCGTTATTTTCCAGGCCTGCGCCCGCCAGGTTTGGGCCTCAGGTCGTTTTCACTAAACCACGTTTTACTAAAGGGGGGTCTGTCCATCCCCGACATAAGGCTGGCCACCTCCGACTCGCAAAAGCTTCCGCGCCCCGAGCTCCTCCGCGCCTCCCCCCCCGCGCCCGCGGAGCGGAGCGACGCGTCAGCCCGCAGGGCACCGCGAGTCGCCCTGAGCCGCCACCTCGACGCGCTGAGCACAAGTTCCTGAACTGGGGGAAGGAAAACTGAGGAGGGGGAGGGAGGAGGAGGAGGAGGAGGAGGAGGAGGAGGAGGAGGGCACGAAGCTCGAGGAGGAGGAGAGGGAGGAAAGAGAAACGAGGGAAGAAAAAGGGAGGGGGGCTCAGAATAGTAGGGGAACAAGAAGTGGCATAAACATACAGACTCGGAGGTCCGCGCGGGTTTCTCGGATCGGCGCTGGACCCCCCTCCCTGGCGCGCGGCCCCAGCGCCGATCCGAGGAATCCACGCGGACCTCCGAGTTGTTGTGTTTATGTCACGTCTTGTCCCCCTTTTATGCTCGTAGATTTACCATGTTCCTCGCTGCAGCAGCCGTGCTTGCCCATCATCCCGTCCCGAGGTTAGGGCTCAGCACGCTTGGCGACTTCGACGGCCAGAGGCCTCTTAATCCCACGCGCCGAGCAACGGCGCGTGGCAATCTGCACGCAGCTGCTAGAGTTGCGGAATCCATAGGGGTGCATGCGTTTAGCGGCGCGAGGCGACGTGCTGGCAGTGCACGGCGCAAGGTTCGCAGTCGAGAAGTTCATCGAGCGTTGGTCTTTGCCTTCGAAGATCCAATGCAACACCTCCGCGACACCGTCCGCCTCTCCAGCGACTTGGTCCCTCTTTCCTCTAGCCTCCCGCGCTGACTTTTGACCCCGATGGCTCCCCAGCCTCCCGCCCCCTTCGTAGACACATGTTCCTGCACCCCGAACGGAGTGTCGGGCGTCTTGGGGCAGGGGTGTCCTTGAGTGAAAGCCCTGATGTTTCTTCTTCAATCGCATTTCAGGTCTTTTTGTGAAAGCTGGAGGTGGAGGGAGACGTAGCGATCCCACCCTCGTCCCCCTCCCCGCTTCCCCCATCTCCCGCCCAAATCCATGTCTCACCCCCCCCGCCAGCCACTTCCCGCATCAGTCTGGACCAGCGATTTCTGAGCTATCCGAGGGCCGCCATTGATCCTCACGTGGGATCAATGAGCCACCTTTCGGGGAAGCAGAAGACTCGAGTACACCGGGACTCGGATTTGCCAATGTTTTTGTTGAGGAGCGCGTTCTGGATGTTGACGGTCCGGTCTTCTTGGGATGTCTGCAGCGGGAGTTTGCGTCAAATTTCAGATTGGATCTCGTCATTTTCATGATAGCCCCACCAGGCCAACCGAATCCCCCGTACCCGAGTCTTACGTGTCCCCGAACTTTGGCGAGAGCTCTCAGAAAACCGCTGCGGCTTGTGGCTCTCGTGGTGCTTTGACAACTGAACGTCCCGCATCAAGGACATGGCTCTCACCCATTCCAGATTCACTTGCCGATGCATTCCTGGGACACTCTTGCCCAGCACGTGCAGGATCACAGTGTGCTTGCCGGGCGATCTCTTTTCTGTGTGGCCGGAGGTGGAAATCATGTCTCTCCTGCGCCCGCCACTTCTGCCCTCTCGCCTCTTCTTTCTCAGATCTCGGCGCCCACCCTTTTTTTTTTTTTTTTTTTTTTTTTTTTTTTAGGGACAATGTCAGGGGGAGTCTGCTCAGGGGCGGAGGCTCGACCCCCCCCAATCGCCCGTGGATCGCCGACCGGAGCCCGGCAGCCCGCCCCCTCCCAGGAGCTTGCGGGTTCGCAGCCGCTTGCCCGTCGCCTTTTCATCGGCGGCGTACCGCCGACTTCAGGGGGGTTCTGCCCCCCCCCTGAGCCCTGAGCCCGCCCGATGGTCTCCGCTGTGGCTGACACTCCCCTCCTCTCCCTCCTCCTCCTCCTCCTCCTCCTCCTCTTCCTCCTCCTCCGCCTCCTCCTCTTCCTTCTCCTCCGCCTCCTCCTCCTCCTCCTCCTCCTCCTCCTCCTCCCTCCCCTCCTCTTTCGCGCTCGCAGTTTTGTGGCTCTCGCGAGCCAGCCACATAGGCAGGGCTGCGGGGGGGGGCGGCGGGCGCGGCGCCGCCTGCGAGCTGCACAGGCTGGGTGGCACATCTGTGTCTGCCTTCCTCGGACCTCGCCTCTCGTCCTCGCTCGTCGTGCGCCCTTCCGGCCCTTCGCGCGCTTCCTCCCCGCCCCTCCCTGCCTCTCCCCGCCTCCTTCGCCTCTCGTCCTCGCTCGTCGTGCGCCCTTCCAGCGCGCATGCGCATCCACCGCCACCGCTGAGCTGTGCAGCCTGCAGGGCGGATGCCGTCAGACACGGGGTCACGGCCAGCATGTGATGCACGTGCCCATGGGCTGCCGCACCCGATGTGTTGATCTGGCTTGACCTGGGAGGGGGCGGGCGAAACCTGGGAAGAGGAGCATCTTCCTGTATGGGTGCCCATCGGTCGTTGAGAGTATGCAGTTTCGGCTCTCGCAGTGCACTATCTATTTTGGGCGCCTTCCTTCTTCAATAATCGAGCAGTTTCCCCTTTTCCTTCCTCTTCAGGGGGCGGGCGAAGATTTAATCTACTTCCAGCGCCTTCCTACTTCATGTTTCTACCCGCTTCTTCCGACCGGTGGGTAGTGGAACCGAAAAGGAACAGTTGCATGAACATGCACTTTCGGACCTCCGCGCGGATTCCTTGGATCGGCGTTGGGCCCCCTCCCTGGCGCGCGGACCGCGCCAGCGGCTGCCCCGGAGGCGCTGCCAGGGGGTCCCAGCGTCGATCCAAGAAGTTTGCACAGATTTCCAGTAAGTCTTTCCTACCTGCGCCTCGGGCCCCCAGGCATCTTGGGACCGAGCGCCCATGAACATGACGCTTCTGTAGAGTATCAGTCTAGCGGCGGGTCGGGAGACGCGTAAAACGTTGGAGTAACCCCTCGTTTCTGCGATGGGGCCAGACGGATCGGGCAAGGCGCGGTGGTGGCAGAGTGGGGACAACCATACAGTGCCTTTTTGAATACATGCTCCGCGTGCGGATCATGTATTAAAAATGCAGAGATTTAGTATTAAAAACAAGGATGAGTTCATGCATAAATTTAAGCATACATTAACCATGAATTAAACATTATATGTTTGAAATCCTATGTACTAAAAACTGCCCTGTAATCACTCCGCATCGCAAGGCCTGAGCCCCCTGCTCCTCTCGTCCCAGGGTTCCCTTGACGGAGCGAGGCGAAACATCCCGGGCCCCCCACATTCCGAAGGAACGCATTCAGGCGAATCCAGGTGTATATATCGGGAGCGGAAAAGAGTGGGGTGATGACTAGGGGGGGGTGGATTTCATGGCTCGGGCCATGATTTTTCCTCACGGCGCCTCTTCTTATTTCATTACGTCTCAGGCCCCCCCGCTGGGCCGCGCACATGCCGCGCCGCCGGTCATGATTTGCACCCCTCCCTCTTGGACACCCCCCTCTTGGCCGCTCCCGAATATACCATCTGGTGATCTAGTGTCCTTCGGCACATCCCGCCACGCGCAGCTGCCAGGACCAGTTCGGGGTCCCTTCTCCAGGACCAGAAATTGGAAGCACACCGTGTTTCAATGATGTTTGATGTCTCGAAGCGTCATGCTTGGCGGCCCCAAATGCACGCGGGACGCCCAATGGTCCAGCCGCACAGGAAGTTCGAAGGGGCTTGAAGAGATCCGAATATTTCCCAAAGACAAGGCGGCGAAGTGCGGTTGACAGTCGATGCCTGGGGTCGAAATCGGCCAAGCTGAGGCCCTCAACATTATGTTTGTTGACAGGCTCGGCTTGCCCACACTGTCAGGGAAACGTAAGACTCGAGTAAGCCGGAACTCGGATTTGTCGAATTCTTTTGACGAGCGCGTCTTGGATTTTGACGGTCCAGTTTTCGTGAGATGTTTTCAGCGGGAGTTCGCGTCAAATTTTGATTCTTGACGATTCGCGTATCCCCACCAGCCCTGTGACTCGACCAGTGCTTGCAGCTTACGCCCCCGATCCTCAGTGTCGGACAAGTTGCAGGCTGTGGACTCAAACGACACGTTCGACTGTTCCTTGACTGGGGACTGGTCGCTCTCATGCCCAAAAGCGTCCTATGAGTCACTGTGAGTGAGGCCTCCATCTGTGCCCCCCTTCTCCTGCCGCCGCGTGCCCTTGCGCCCGCCGTGCCTCTCCTGTTCCTTGGCCTCCTCTTTGTTTCATGGACGGTGCGGCCACCCCGGCGACTCCGTGCCGCCACAGCGCGGCGTGCTTCACGCCCTTACGCGCTGTTCGGTACGTCCAGAGCTTGGCGCCACTTGTGCGACTGCTCCATCCGTCCGTTTCCAGTTCGGTGCTTGCGTTCCCCGATTTCGGGCCGCCAGCGTCCTAATGAGGGTCATTTTGTCCCTGGCATGTGCACCCGCTGCCGCGGCCTATAGGCTTCAGCAGCTAATTATATCGCCCTGTGCCCCAGCCGAGTCCGCCCCGCTTCCTGGAGCTGTCCTTGGAGCCGCCGATCAAAAAAATAT